GGAAACCAAACTTGCATTAAATCCCTTGAATGAAATCCCATTCTAAATTATCAAAAGCTTTGGCCATACTTTATGATAGTGTTGCCCCCCCTCTGATATTGGCATCAATTTCATGAACCGTTTCTTCCACAAGAAGAATCTGTTCCTCTTTTCCATTTCCTTTCTGGAAGCTTACTTGCTCTGGGGAAAGTATTTTGGGGAGGATTTGTTGCACTATATCAGTCAGGATTCAATATTAATTTTGCTCATGAATGTGGACAGAGATATAGGTCTGTAATCTCCAAAATCAGTAGGGTTATGCTTTTTTGGGATAGGACTTATAAATGTGCTGCCAGAACTTTTGGAAACAGGAACTCCAATAAAGAATTCTTGAGAAGCACACAGATTCACCAAGTATTTCAATGGTCTTTTCTAGCAACATAAAGTGAAAGGAGTTGGGACAGTGGAAGGCTTCTACAATGGAGTGGCTTCAGTCTCCTTTTCCGTAGTAGAAGAAGTAGTAGTGGAGAGCATAATGTTTTACTCAGATGTGGGTAGATCTAAAAGTGAGGTTCACCTTTCTATTATCAAGCAATTCTTACGCAAACTAGGCTTCAGTTTGGTTCGAGCTTCGGTAGATACATAGCAGCGACAATTTATTCACATTCCAAGAGGAAAGGGATTACATCAGATGGCTACAGAAACACAACTGGTATGTTAACAGCATTCACTTCCATGCTTTTAAGTGGAATAGAGATTGTAGCAGCAATGCAGACTGTCCTATCTTCCCAGTTTGGGTTACTCTTGATAAACTGCCCCTTCATTTAGTTGATTTCCAAGCATTTTATTCCATCACTGCATTGTTGGGTGACCCATAACATTAGATGATTACACGGTCAACAAAGATAGAAGGGAAGGGCCCAGAATTTGTGTTGAAATGGATGTATCTCTTCCTCCTCCAACCAAAATTCATATCAGAATAGGAGAGAGAGACATTTACTCACTGTAGTTATGAAGAAATGCCTACTTTCTGTACCCAATGTAATAGAACTGGTCACAAGAAAAGCATTTCGTGTGCTTCCATCTCTGCCACACCCACGTAAGATGGGTAAGGCAGAACCAGTACCAAAGCAAGTGCAAAAGAGAGGTTTTCAAGGGCCCCACAAAATTTTAATGGAAACCAAAGAAGTTATATCACCCTGAGTAAACTTTTCTTTTCACCTAATTTGCGGGATATTTTGGAGTGTCAGGAAGGAACATCAACCAGCTATGGAATGGCTCCTAGTGGTATAGAGAACTCTCTTTGTCAGTTGTCAGTCCCACAGAATACTGAAGAGCCCACACATCATCAGAATCTTAAGAATCATTTCCCTCACTGTCTGAAAGAGTAAAGGCAAAGCATATGTATCCAAAGCCAATGTCAAGGGTAATTCGAAGCTAAACAGAAGCATGGAGAAGGGGATTAAAAAATAAATAGCAAACAGTTTATAGATTATACCTTACAAAGGCTCCCTTGATGATTGTTTAAATTATCACTCTCCAGACAAGGGATTAGCTATGCTGGTGGAAGAGCTAACCCTGGATAACCAGAAAGAGGAAGAAGAGGATAATTGGGATTTTGGGACTCACTCTGATGATGGAAAAATTAATGAAGTTATTGACTGTACTGATCTAAACCCAATTCATTATTCATCACGAAATCCCTGCTAACAATGCAGCACCCTTGTTATATTTTGTGAGTATTTTGAATATAACTACATGTATCTTACAAAGTAAAGAATAATACAAATAAAAATGAATAAATCAATTTGTCGCACCCATTGTCGCACCTGCACCTTGTTTTTTTCTAAATTTCTCCACCCACGCACCAGTCGTGCACCCACACCGGTCGACGCACCAGAACCTGTGCTTCATACGTCAACACAAAAAAATTACAAACTATTATGTACGCTTGCTGCATCCTACATAACATGATTATCGAAGACGAAGGACATGCGAAATGCGAATACGATCAAAACAATGTCAGCATTGAACCACTTGATGCAGCACAACAAGATCTCGACATGTTTGCATGACACAACACGCATACGTACCAAAACCTCAGTGTCGATCTGGTCGTGTATTTGTGGAATTTTGCTACACCATTTCTGGATGACGAATAATCTATTTTTTGTACCTGTTTTTTTATAATTGTACCTTTTCTTGTTTCGCCTATTTTTTTATTGCATTATGTCAATGTAATTTTAATTTGATAACAAATGAAATATTTATTTGATATTTTTATTTTAAGTAATTTTAATTTAAATAACTGTAAAAAAAGAATATAAAAGAAAAAACAGAGTGAAAGTGATGGGTGCGATCCACACCTCTCGAAGGGGGTGGGATGTGATGAGAAAGAGAAAAGTTGACGTGGTGCTGAGTTGGCAGGAAGGGATGGTGTGATTGTGTGATCCAAACCTTATAGCCTATGTTTAGTTTCTTTATTTCCATTTTAAGAAATGGGAAGAATCAAATTGGACGGCTCAAAAAAGAAAGTGAGAAGATAGATACAAGACGTAGGGAGTATTAATTACTCCCTTATAAATAAGCTTGGGGTGCAAGATGTGTCACCGGAATGTCTGGTTTTAGAAATGAAAACAAAAGCACGGCCCCTACTCCCGTGGATTTGAGTTACCAAGAATAACTTGTAAATCACAAAATGGTCTAAAGAACTCCCATGATGCAATAAAGATTTTAGTTTTAACAGAATTGCTTGTGATGAATAAGTTAGTGTTGAAAAATAAAACTCTAGATTTTACCTCTTCTATCACAATCATCACTAAAAAATATTATTGGGTCAATAAGCTACAAAATAGATTTAGGAACCAGTAAAGACTCAAAATAGTTATTAAATCCAATTTACTTGCTAAGTTTTCTAGTACCGTCTCTGTTTTATAAAATTCCCGGTTGAAATATTATAGTCCTCTCTTATTCATATGTATTTTTTCATAGTTCTATAAGTAAAGGTGTAATGTGCTTTGAAGTGAATCCGTCCAATCTTCCAACCTTTTTAGGAAGACACTGTGTATTTTTATAAATTAGGATGTATTAGAACCACACCAATGATAAATTTTTATAAACAAAACCCAAACCTCTCCAAATTTAGTACTGTTTTTGTTTTATCTCTTTGTAATCTTTACTTGCCAACATTGATGAATATTTTTACCCTTTTCACAAAGGCAACTAACGTTTAAGTGCCAAAGAGAGTTTGGTACGCATTAAGTTTAACATGCAGTGGTGTTGGACCAAATTAAGAATAGAGAACAACCCTTCCGCAAAGCGAACAACAGATTTATACTGAGAAAATTGCATCTGTTAGGTGGAAATTTGTTTCCTAAACAAATTGTTATTACTGTTAGGTTGAATTTTGTTTCCTAAACCAAGTATTGCGAGTAGGAAAACTGAATTTTTATTAGGATGTTTTTTTACTGCTGACTGTTCGGTTACAATATAAGTATTTCCTAAACAAAGATTTTACAGTTCAGGAAAAGTGATATCTTCTAACAAACTGTCATCGTTAGATGCTAATATCGACGAATATTTTATCTTTCCGTAAAGGCAACAAACTATTAGAGTCCCAAAGAGTAGTTTGCTATTGTTTATAGCTATTTTCAGCCGCGTGTTATTTGAGCTCTGGGAAGTGAATTATTTCTATCAAGATTTTACAGTTTGGGGTAAGTGAATATCTTCTAACAAAACAGAAGTTTTAGCAGCATATAACAGTACATACATAATACACTAATAAATGAATATAAAAAGAGATTCATGTGATTAGGTTGAATTAACTCTTGGTTGATTCAAGTTATCTCAAACTGGGAATTTCAGATGACAATTTTTGTGGTGATATTAGTGCTAGAAAGATTATATTGAGGATGACTTGTTATATTGGAATGATTCGAGTGAAAAAAGGCCTCTAGTTGGTCGGAATTTTTACTATCATTGATAAATTATCGCAAATGAGATTGCTATAACTATTCTATAGAGATTGTTGATGATGAGCCATTGAAATTATATTGTAGTACGTGAGGCCAATGTGAGATCATATTTGTTCTCTACCAACAGAAGAAGAAGATTATGTAATTCTAAGAGATCCATGAAACTATTGGCATTATGTTAGTGTGCATTATTCAGGTTCGTGAAACTATTGGCAAGCTTGAGCACAAAACTTCTCTCTCAAAGGTAATGCATCTATGTCGCATCACTTTATAATGTCCTTTAGATGAATTGACCTCATTTTATCTAACCCTACCAGACTAGATTTTCACTGTTGTAACCCATTATTTATATTTGTAGAGCTTCCCCTATTCATCATGAGTAAGAAATAAACCCCTATAGTCTAATTATACAATAAAATTTTAGTGCCTATATTTTCGTGCCAATTACGCGGTTTTTTTGTAGTGCTTGCAGGACCCATCACGTTTTTTCTACAAACTTCTTTGAACTTTAATGGACATGCATGACCTATTAGTCAACCATTTATTTAAAAAAAATATATTTTTTTTGGGAGAAATACTCCCTTCCTCTTCCCTTGAGTGTGTATTCGATATCTTTTTTTACGATAACATCAATGTGAAGTGAGTTATCCGGGCACTAACAATTACATTGTAGGTGTGTTCTCTCACAAAAGGTGGTTGGGCAATACACAAATGGTTTGGATGAAGGATTATTGGTTTCAGCCACAAATACTTGAGGCTATCTGGGAACTTGTTGCATGTGTAGGGTTTAACTTTCAAATGGCAACGGGCTGAATTAGTTCAGGGCCTCAGGGGCTAATTTTATGAAATCACTCAGGCACGAGCTTAGGCTTTAAGAGTGTTTAAGGGTTGGGCTGACAGCCTGACACAGATTTCATCATTCTGGAATAAGTTTTAAATGTAAGATTTAATTGGGATTAGATTGGGCACTTGATTTAGGCCTTGGAAGCCATACTAAACATGGCCAACACATCCTCAATTTGGATTTAGTTTGTAACTTATGTATGGACTTTAGTTCTTTCCTTTTCTTGCTTGGGTTTCGTTCGATTTCCAAAGAGCCTTGGCTTGGTCCTCCCCTCATGTACCTTTCTTTTTCTTTTTTATTAATATTCTCAATTTCATCTAATTTGGGTTTGGGTCATTTTAAGTTTGGGTTAACTCGATTTCAAGTTAGAAAATGTATGTTCGTGATCTAATGTCATTGGTTTTGGATCGACTTAAGAATGCTTTTTTATTTATTTAAATTTATTCTAGCACTTATATTTTGCATAAAAATATAATTAAAAATGTTGAAATATACCAATAATATCTACTCCGTATTATATACTTTCTTCAGCATGTTTTAATAATTTTAAAATATACTTGTATATCTCAATGTTATAGATACAATAGAATTTTAGACATGCCATTTTTTATAGTAAGATAGCCATACCGCCCGTACGTATAATATCATTGAAAACTTGTTAGAAAATACGACATTGTTTTTTAAAGTGAGATAACCATAACTATAAAATCATTGAAAACTTGTTAGCAAAATACACTGAAAATGAGTGTAAAAACCTTACCTAGCTTCGTCAAGTTAGCTAGTCAGGTCGGATTCAAGTTTGCCCTATTTTTAGCAGGCAATTATTTGAAATTTGGTCATTTAGATTAACAAATTTCTTTATTCAAAATTTAGTAGATCCGGATCAGATCAAATTAAAAAAACTGGTCGAACCCATTTTTTTTCGTTTCGGGTGTAATTATATTCGATCTCCCTTTAACATTAAAAAAGGAACACAAGCAACGCAAATGTAGGAATAAATATTGAATTAAAAAAGAACATATTAATCAATAAGAAAAGCACATGAAGTTAATGATGTGTGTGAAGTCATAGGTCGTATGTATTGTTGACAAGCAACTTACTTTCTTAGGTATAGTGATTCATGCAATACGGATTGTCATTGATACGTATACGTATACGTCGTATTTAGAAATGAAAAAAATAATGTTGGAGATTTTTTTTAATTCAAAATTATATTTTAAATAAGTGGGCACAACTTTTTAAAGATACGTGTTTATTCTTAAATGACATACCTCTTGAATATTTATTTTGAATTTAAATTGGAAACTTTTAATTAAATGGGAGTACCTCTTACAAAAGAGACATGATCATTTATAAAGGGGTATATCATTTTCTATAAATGGGGCCAATGTCACAATGTAAAAGAGGGGAAAAATATGTTAGGAAAATGATTTATTATTGATTATTATTTTTCTGATTATTTAGAATAATGAAGAAATAATGTATTTATTTCTTGTTTTTATTCTATGATGATGAAATATTAATTAGTGTATTTTTCTATGTTTTTCATCTCCTTTGTCTCGAGACAAGTCTCGTTAAAGTACATTAGCAGATTGTTTTGTATAGCAACCAAACAATTTAGCCTTTTTCATTGTATTCCGAAAGTTCTATCTTGTAACCCTTGTTGCTTATAATAGGGTAGATAAGAAACTTTTAAGAAAGCGTTTCCAAGGGTCAGGTGCCTTGAAGGTTTATCCAATTAATTTTACCAAACTTGTTCTGAACTACTTGTATCTTGATCTCATTCATTGGGGTACGCAAGCAACTTATAATGTTTTATATTTCTAATTGCAGTCACAATACTACAATTATTTTTTATTGTTCCAACAAATAATACTCCCTTCCTTTAATAAAACAATTCCCCTACACCATTTTCTCTACCCATAAAACACTTCGGTTTTTCATTAAAATGTTACGTTTACGCCTACTATATATTACCCTAGCTATCATATCATCTATATTTATTACTAATCTATCCATCACATTCTACTTTTTCCATGACATTCAAGAACAAAATTGAAATTCAATTTCAAAAAATATTCCCTTTAAATTTGTGAAAAGTTAAAAATAAAAACTATTTTTTAAAATGGAAGGAGTATAATTTGTCTTTCTCAGCACACTCCGTGCTCAAAATACTTTTTTATTGTCAGTTACAATGTTTGACAAATGATATTTTTAATTCTATATACATTCTGACGATACATACATACATGCAAGCATACATACATAAAGACATGCATGAAAACTATACATGTATACATACTGATGGAGATTGGGTCCACGAGCCTATATGGAAAAGTGGGCCTAGTTGGCCCAAGCCCGAAGGCTGTGAAGTACAACGAGACAATGAAGGAAAGTAAGAATGAGCCAAATATTGGAAGGGCCAAGGCATCTGAAAATCTTTTTAACTTAAGGAGGTTGTATTGCAATATGAAATTTAAGGATTGGGGTGCAAGATTAGGGATTGAAATCCAATTCCTTCTAGGATTCGGATGCCTAATTTGTCTCTCCATAATAAGTCTAAATAGACCTCCCATGTTAAGGGAGAGAGATCTGAGATTAATAAATTCCCAACACATTGTTAGATATACCTTCTTCTTCTTATTATTCTCTATTTTCTTGAGAAGAGCTATGGTAGGCAAGAGAATCCAAATTAAAGTAGACGTGCAGTTCTAACAACGATCAGGCGTCAGCCAACCCCAACCATCTATGGGAGAGCTGGCTCTCATTGCCCAACATTTTACGCTAGAAGCAACTTGAATAACATTGTGTTGTTGCTCACCAATGTCGTGGATACATTGGATTGGTTACCTGGTCTTTCATTCCCACCCATACAAGAAGATCCGGACGTTGCCTAGTAAGTCTTCTGGACCTGTGCCCCATCGCCCAACTGGTGGAGAACCTCCAGACCATGGAGCTAGAGAACGAGTGGATAAGAGAGTATAATAAACGGCTTAGCTTGAAAAGATCCACGTCGAGTTGAGATCGACAAAATCAAGATGGGGACCTTGAGAGTCTGTCTATAATACCCTTACTGTTGGAAAACATTTTCACTTTGGCATTTTGCTAATAACAATGTTTGTTTCCATTTAGGTTTTGATATTGACAAACCGTCGGGAACATGGAACAAAATGAAAATATAGAAAAAGTTATTTGAAGAAACAGAAAGCACAAGAACGGCATTGACGTTGCTAAAGATGGCGACATTGGCGCTTTGAAGACATATTCTAAAGACTTAGGTTTTATTGTAACAAGCTCATTCAATTTCTCTACGTCATGGCTCAAAAAAAATATGTTTTTCATGCATCAAATTAATGTTTTCATAAATGGTTTTTAAGTTTCTAAAACCCATGGTTCTTTCTTAACCAAACCCATAACCATCGGTTATCGGCGTTCGGCTATGGCGTTCGGTTTTCGGCATTGGTTATTGGCATTGATTTTAACCAAATGGTTTTTAGGTTTTTATCTTTGGTTTATCCTTCTGGACACATTTAAAGGGTTTCCAAATGATTAGTTTTCAAAAACCATAACCTTTGTTTTTCGGCGTTGATTATCGGCATTCGGCGCCGGTTATCGGTGTTGGTTTTTGGCGCCCAAATCAATCAAGTGGTTTTTAAGATTTTATGATTTATTTTTACTTCTGGGAATATCCAAATGGCTCTCCAACAAAAACATGTTAAAAACCACCTTCGCTTTTGGTCTTTTGGTGAAAACCATGTGAAACGACATAAACTTGGCTAGCCGTGGTTTTTACCTTAATGAAGTGGTTTTTAAGTTTTTATACTTTGTTTCTACCTAAAATACATTATATAAGAGTTTCCAACACTTGGTTTTCATTTTGGAGAACTTTGGTTTTTGACATCGGTTTTCGGCGTTGGCTGCCAAACCATGGTTCTGGCAAACCATCCCAACATGCATGTCGGAAATCCCAACAGCGATGTTGGCATTCAGAAGCCCTGGGCAGTAAGTTTTTGAACAGCGATGTTCATTGTTGAACAGCGATGTTTTCAAATGACCGTTGGGCTATTTAAGACAAAATCTTTCCATTTTTGAAAGTCAAACACCCCAACATCGATGTAGACTTATAGACATCGATGTTTTGGTGACCGTTAGCCATTTTTAAAGGAAAGTCAAAGCCAAAACAGCGATGTTCACTATATGAACAGCGCTGTCGGGCTAGATTCCAGCAGATCCACTTTTATTTGATTTCCACAAATCAAACCAATCAACCCCAATCTTTTCCCAACCGTTGCACCTTGTTTTTGGGTATAAAAAGGGGTCTCTTGGGTCTACTTTTCACATCCATTCCACACACATTTCATAACTTTACATTGCATCATTCCATAAGCTTTTTACATAGCTTTTTAGAGCCATTTCTTGAGGA